CCAAAGAACATTTAAATTAATATACGATGTTGGTCTTCTGTAAGAAGCTAGTTGACGGAGAAGAAATATGTATGACAAGGTTGATTGTATTAAATTTCATACAGTATATAATTTTGTTTTTTACTTGGATCCCGGGGTGGGGATATGTTAGTGTTTGAGTCTTTTTTGAATGTGTTCTTCCTGCTTATAGTTACAATGCACTTGATTACAATATAGGAGTTTGATATGTAATTTGTGGACGTATTATGTTCGTTATTTTTATGTTAAAATTCCCAGTAGATCGTCTAATTTGTTCATCAACGATGTCATTAGGAAATTCATTATTAATGAGGGTTTGTTTAATACTTTTTAATTCAGTAAAGAAAATCTTTCTTGTTGAATAGTTTTTCACGGTTTATTAAGTTTCGTATAATAGATATTTTATAATAGTTAGGGCATTCACTTTTATAGTCGAGAGTGCACGTGTTTATGCTAATTAGTTTATTATATGGGGAGGTAGCAAATGTATTATTATTAGTGTCTATCAATGCATCAAGAAACGGGATTTTTATTGTCGTTAAGTTCGTATGTGAATTTTTTTTGTAGTTCATGTATTTCGTCTGTTTTTTTTGTTTTTTGTTTTTTTTTACTAAAATGAAAATGTCATCTACATATCTCAGGTAAATAGGTCTTTGTGATATTACGTACGTTATTTTCTAGATTAGTCTTATAGAAGTTGCTAAATGTTCGTCCTATGATTTAAAGCTGTATTTATTGAGCATATATGGTGTAATTAGTTGATTAATATGCACTTTTCTCAGGCCTTAATTGTGGTGCTTTCATGAATTTATTGTGATATGCAGGTATGGTGGCAACGTCTCTTTATACTGAGAGTACCGGGTTGGCAGTTTTCTGTTTGCTGTTCCCGACTGGTAGTTACGAGCGTCTTCAGAGGCTGCTCTAATCAACGTTTCATAATTCTTGCTGTACCACGTCGCGCAGGGAAATGTGTTCCTGCAAGCACCTCCAGTGGGGCAACCCCGAGGCCAGACTGTTATAATCTGCGCCAGTTCCCATATGTTACAGTGGATGACCAACTTCTGCTACTATCCTAGGCTTTTCTTTACCAAAATAATTCCTCATGACAATAAACGACGAAATATATAAACCTAAACACCTCAACGAAAAAACACCTAAACACCTCAACCATTCTTTCTCGAACATTAGTGGTGTTCTTACCAACTTTTGCAGTGTGGAATCGTTCCGCTTCGAAGAATCTCCGGTCATCCTTGCTCTCTGCGAAACTAAACTCTTCAGTGCCTTCGTGTTATTTTTTCGATTCCTGGCTACCTTCCTATTCTTAGAAAGGACTCTAAATTTCTGTTATAGTGGAACACACCTATTTTATAGTTAATAGACTCTCCCACCTATAATAAGTAGTAGTAGTAATAGTCGCTCAGGGAGTTGGTCAGTCAGTTGACTGGCTGATTGGTTGAACTCTCGGCCTTCGGGCGGAGAGGAACTCGAACCAGGCTACACCGAAGGGCGGATTCTTTTTCGGGGAGGTAAACCGACCCTGAACCCGTTTATACGGGTTCAATGGGCATATTTTTGGCCGAGCCCACGGACTCTGAGATCCCACGTTAAACCGGCTTTGTGCCACATGATGCCCTCGTGGGGGTGGGGGTGACTAAATATCGTTGGTCAGTCAGTCGATGCCGGACGACCGTTAGTCGGATACTAAAGTATTAGCGACCACCACTAGATTTCTCTGCGTCATTACCTTTTATATAAAGTTCCTAACGTTTTGTACGTCGAACCTATTTTAGGACCGACTTAGTAGAAATACAAGCCTCCACTGTGAAACTACTCTACAACAAGTTCACATGCATGTCCGCGTGCAGTATCGCCGATAATATAGACAAGGCCAACTCCCTACATCCGTTTGGAAACATTCGTGTTCGGTGTTTTCATGTCAACCATACCCGATGGCTTAAACTCTGTCACTGACATCACTGGAACCTTTAACCTTTAACTTCTCCATCTCACACGTAAGTGGTTGACTTCCCCACGCGTTTCCTCAGTAACCCTGACGAACACGCTTAACCCTGACTCTTGTTGTACCCTGCAGTTTTGTCCTGCTTGCAAGTCTGATCATGCCGTAGTATCTGTAAACATCTCCTTCCGTTACGCCACCAAGTCAAGAACCTCCTATCGACAGAATATCTTTCTGTTATCAAAGAGCACACCGGAAGTCGTTCCGTGAGTTCCTTCCTGACGCCCTTTTTAATCCTACTGTTCAAAAATGCGTGTCTGGAGTCAAGCTGGTATCGATGCTTTCGTTCAAGCAAGGAAATACCAAGTTAAACTACGTTCATCTCTTTGGTTCTCACCTGCTCAGGAATCACTTCTTCCGGCTAAAACAGAGCAACACGTCTGATTACAACAGACGTCTTTTTGTCTCGTCTTGTAAAGAGTGCAAGTGTGTTCTCAATGAAGTAAAGTTACTGTTTGTGGATAAAATGAAACAAATTATAGCATCTTGCAAGTTCGGTCCTAGAGATTATTGGAGGATTTTCAAGAGTGTACTGAGCAACAGCAAGTCCTCAATCTATTCAGTAAATTCGGATCTACAGCAGATAAGTTTGAATGCTTTGCACGGAAATTCTCTTCCAACTCAACACTCGACTCATTTGAAGTACCCACACCTGATTTTCCCCTAGAACTGAAGCTCTACTGAGTGATATGCGCGATAGAGTGATATTTAGAGGAGTCAGAAGTTTCTTCAGGGATTTTCCAAACAGGGACGACAGAGGAGAACTTCCAATAAGTTGGAAAGCAAGAATCAGCGAACATTGAATCAAAAGCTGCACCAACTGCAAGGAAAGTTAGTTAATTGTGTCATGCCAAAAGGTTTTTCTAGTCAGTGCATCTTGCACATTTACTAATCTACCATTCGACCGTGCATTGAATACTGTTGCCATATCTGGTCTGGTGGCTCTGCTGTTCATCTCGAGGTTCTTGACAAAATCCAGAGAAAGATCTACAATGCAATCGATCCTGGGTTTGCATCTCGACATCAGTCACTTTCTCACAGACGTGGTTTGGCTTCCCTCTGTCTTTTCTGTAAATATTTTCATGGCAACTGCTCTGACGATCTTTTTCTTTGGTGCCCCGATTACATGAATTTACTAGATTGACATCTAATTTCTACCCTTTTACTGTTGAAATAGTGAAATTTAACAGCCACTTTTACTCCAAATGTTTCTTTTCTCACACTTACCGCATGGGGAACTCCTTTCCGTAAACTTGAATCCCTGATAGCAACAATGTTAAAAAAAATTAAATGTAACGTCAATCGCCATCATCAGAACCCCCCTTTTATCCTTTGCGCAATCTCCCCTATACCCAGTCTTTTCTCTCACTCTTTGTAACCCCCTTGCGTACTAGTGACACTCCCGCCTTGTTTGGGGTGAAATAATATATGTGCGCGTGTGTCTGTTTAGGATGTACAATAGTATTTGAAACAAGTGTAGATGATGAGATAGTCGTATAACCGGTTTCGGTTCAGCTCGGCTTCTTCAGGACGAAATGTAAGAGAATTTAAGGTCGGATATAGCTTGTCTCCATTTCTTCAAAAATCCTAACTCATTTTCCTTACATAGTATTCTTTCATTCCAGTCTGAAGAAGCCAATGAAACGCTTTTTGCCACTTGTCTCATCATCATCGTCATTATCATCATATCTCTCTCTCATATATATATATATATATATATATATATATCCTATATATATATATCTCTCTCTCTATTTTTATATATATATATATATATATATATATATATATATATATATATATATATATATATGTATATGCGTGTGTGTGTGTCGATCTATCATGAGAGAAATTTCATATGAACTAATTGGTTAAATTTGAAACATTAATATTTTTACAATAATTCGTATTTCGTCGATTTTATTAGTATGTCTACTAGTAAAGTTTTTTGTTATGGTTACGAGCTTCAAGCAATACGTCACGGATATTAGAACTACGAACCCAGCAACCGAGACTCGCTGTTGGATATATTAGTGAGTTTCTTTAGCGGTCCGACCACTGGCCTTTCTCGAACTACCATTATTTATAATGGATTCGTATTTTTGTGAATTTAGTTAAACAAGTCCTTAGCTCGTAAGAAGAAAAAGAGAAATAGTTTTTACGCCAGAACACGTGGGCCTATGTGTATTACAATCCGTTGCCGGGGCTTTGACACTGGTAGCGCAGACAGAAACCCGAGACAGACATGCTATATCTGGCAAAAACGGAGCTAGCCAACCACACCTAGTCGAAGGGAGATGAGATTCAACGCTACCGAATGCACCCATCACAAAAAGTAAAAAAAAAAAAAACTCCCAAAAACAAATATATATCGACAGAAGACTATCTCTCTGTTAAAATAATACGAGTAAAGATTTTCCTCGCCCAGCTGTCGTTCGAGAAGCCCGCGCCGACAGCACGGGCTTCTGGGTCAAACAGACTTTACATTTCTTGTAGCAAGTCTCCTTTCCTAAAGTCGGCACCACCACCGGCAGCCACTATCACACAGAAAGGAGAAAAAGAAAAAAAAAACATGCCGAGACAACTTTTCGCGCCTAATCTTGCAGAGCATACTTACCCCCACCCCTACTACCTTCCCGCCAACCAAGTTAATACTTGTTATTTTCTTTCACACATTAATATTTGCTGGCAGTAGCCGTGAAAATTTCACTGTCCCTATTTCAGTTTTCTGGTGAATAATAAGTCTTAATGTAATGACTGAATAAGCATCTTGAGTTTAACAACTAAAAAAATATATGAGTGGAAAATGGCATATTGAAGAGTTGATTATGTGAGCTTAGCAACTTTAATTAAATATTAAAATAACAATCATAACTATGACGATAGATCATTATTTAAATAAGACGACAAATAAAGGCTTAAAATTGACAGGGTTTTCCATTTCACTAAAGCAGACGTTAAACACATGAGAGCATTATCGCTTTCTTTCCTTTTCCTCAAATTTACTCCATCGCTCTCTCTTCCTTCTCACTCTGTCTCCCCTCCACTCTCTCACTCACCTCTCCCCCCTCCCTCTCTCCTCCTCTCTCCCTCCACTCTCTCTCACTCACTCTCTCCCCTCCACTCTCTCTCCCTCACTCTGTCTCCCTCCCCTCTCCACTCTCTGTCTCCCCTCCTCTGTCTCCCCTCCTCTGTCTCCCTCACTCACTGTCTCCCCTCCACTCACTCTGTCTCCCCTCCACTCACTCTGTCTCCCCTCCTCTCTCTCTCTGTCTCCCCTCCTCTCTCTCTCTGTCTCCCCTCCTCTCTCTCTCTGTCTCCCCTCCTCTCTCTCTCTGTCTCCCCTCCACTCTCTCTCTGTCTCCCTCCTCTCTCTCTCTGTCTCCCTCCACTCTCTCTCTGTCTCCCCACTCTCTCTCTCTCTCCCTCCACTCTCTCTCTGTCTCCCCTCCACTCTCTCTCTGTCTCCCCTCCACTCTCTCTCTCACTCTGTCTCCCCTCCACTCTCTCTCTCTCTCTCTCATTATTATCCGTCACGTGATATTCTTCAGTTAGCGCTTCTTTACAAAAAGCCGTAAGATACCCTGGCCTATTACTATGTCAGATGTATAAACTCTGTTTTCTATCTGAAGTTTAACATTTCACACTCCCAGGCCATAAGGGATTTAAATCTGTTTTGTAAAGTTTTTTTTTTTTTTTATTGTTAATTGCATTTTTTTTTATTCTTCCATCTTTTAGCATTAATCTTCTTTCTAATTAGGTTTACTGATACTGCTAAACAATCAATTTTCCGGAATGTAATAACCCAGGGACATCTCTTAATTCGGATACAATTTAATACAGTTGCCAGATTAATTTAACGGGTAGCCAAAAGTAGTGTTGTGCATGGCGTGAGTTTCATATTAGTTTGAACTGTCGATGACGTGCATAGAGAGCTAGTATTTTATTGAACTGTTCTTAAGTGACTTCCTTTGGTCCAGCAAAATGAATAATCTAGCATGGTTCTGAATACATTATTGCCGGAAAATCGGTGGTGTATTTGTATGTGGATTGAAACACCGAGATAAGATATATGTGAAGATATTAATAAACCGTGACTTTTAACAGCGCTGATGGATTTGAGTTGAGATTACGATTGATAGGAATTATATATATATATACCGATCGCTTCAACCCGGCTGATTTGACATTTATTGAGATTGATAGGAATTGTATTGATAGGAATTGTGAAGGGTAAAGATGAATCGATAGTCGACGTAAAGAGATAAACTGCAACAGACTGAGACCAACATACAAAGAGATCGATAGGGGTAGAAAACACACACATATATATATATATATATATATATATATATATATATATATATATATATACTATTCTATCTTGAGTGGCTCTTGGGCTTTGAATTGGCGTAATATTAATATAACAATTAAAAAATTCACTTTTGTACTGGATTGGTTAATGTTTGAGTTCCATTTTAGGTCTGGGCTCTCTCCAGATCTAAAATGGAACTCGCATATTCGATCTGTTGCTAAAGATGCTGAAGAAAATGGTCGGTTCTTTGTACTGGTTCAGTAAGTATCTGAGTTCAAAAGCGTCTACGCGGCCTTGTGGGTGATGAATTATTTTCCACTGTAAAACCTCTTTCTTACAGGTGATACGTCACGAGCCTCTCGCTTCTCTATCGCTATTTCCATAGAATATGTTCTAACGAGCTACATTCTTTAGTCCTACGACCCCGAACCTAACAGGAAGCCACCATGCCACGTACATAAAGCCTAGTAAGTCTTATAGTTTTCTTAGAATAGACTCTCCTCTCCTCTTCTCTTCTTCCTCCTCTTCTCTTCTTCTTCCTCCTCTTCTCTTCTCTTTCCTCTTCTTCTTCCTCCTCTTCTCTTCTTCCTCCTCCTCTTCTTTTCTTCCTCCTCCTCCTCTTTTCTTCCTCCTCCTCCTCTTTTCTTCCTCCTCCTCCTCTTTTCTTCCTCCTCCTCCTCTTTTCTTCCTCCTCCTCCTCTTTTCTTCCTCCTCCTCCTCTTCTTCCTTCTTTTTCCTCCTCCTTCTTTTTCCTCCTCTTCCTTTTCTTCCTCCTCTCCTCTTATTATTATTATTATTATTATTATTATGACCGCTACTACCACTTCATTACTCTCCACAATCTTCTATTCCTTGTACTTCTTAGTAACGTTCGTATTTTTACTAATCCTCGCATCCTCCGTTTTGCCATCCATTTTACACAAGCTTATCAGGTAGATGGCCTGCTATCTTCCATTGTCCTTCTTTACTTCGATATGTCGTGTGAGTATGACAACCTCAAACCCCCTCCTTATTATACGTTCCAGAAATTTAAGACTTCTTCGTTGATTACGTGCGTGAAATTCTCAGTATCCTCCTGTAGGATCACATTTCTGTTTTCTCATCTGTGAGGATTATTCAGCACTCAGTCATATAACAGGATTATTATTCCATAATAGTTTAGCAGTTTTAGCGACATTTTCCTGTTTCTTCATACTTTGCTTCACTTTTGGATTGAATCGTTTGCTATCCCATTGCGCCTCCAAGATTCATCACCTATAAGACCGGCGTAATCGCTTTTGAACTCTATCAAGAATGGATAGCGAAGACTGAGCAGTACCAGCCCAGATATGGCAGCAATACACTATTTTTGATCTCATCTGATTCCTCTTGTAAAAAAACAGGGAATAATAGTAAGTGTCAGTTTCTATCGGTACAAGCAACCGACCATTCTTTCAGCTTATTTTTCATTTGCTGTCCGGAGTAATCTTATAGTCTCTATAGACATTCGAGGCGACGAGCCCTATTGAGAGGATAACACGCTCACATACGATTGAAGAAAATTTAGGATTTGCACGTTGGTAATGAAATGTTGCTGTGTTTTTCAGATAGTATGTATATAAGGTGTTTACGTAAACTATAGTATCATGAGCAGTATCTATTATAAAATTACATGAAAACGTTAGTTATCCTCAAGAGACATTGTAAAATCTGACATTACAAGAAGGAATGGAACAAAATAATCATTACAAGTTTTAATTGACTGAATTTGGAAGCTGGATACATTGACAAAGTTTCGGATTTAGTTATTTATTTATTTTTTAAATCTTATTTATTGGCTCAAGTTTGGTGATTTACCTTATATTTTTGAATACTAAATTGTAACATATACTTCAAAAACTCACACGGTGAAGCGATGGCGAAAAAAGACTCTTGTTTCTCGCCCTCGTAAACGATTTAATGAACACAGTCTTTTACTAAATGAGCCAATAACCGTACCCCCGTCCGCACTTTTCTTCCGAGTAAACGGGTTATTTGAAACTGTTACGCCATCTCCGGTTGACAGCCGACACAAGTTGAATGCCAAACATTTGTCTCTACTTCCTTTCCGAAGTAGCAAAGAACTGAATGGACGCTTAGTCAGCTATTTTCACAGCTTTCTTATTCATTCTTTGTCTTTTTTTCTTTCGTTCGTCTGTTTCTCTCTTTTTTTTTCTTTTTTCGTCTGTTTCTTTTTCGTTCGTCTGTTTCTCTTTTTTTTTTTCTTTTCTTCGTTTTCTCTTTTTTTCTTTCGTTCGTCTGTTTCTCTTTTTTTTTTTCTTTCGTTCGTCTGCTTCTCTCTTTTTTTTTTCTTTCGTTTCTCTCTTTTTTCTTTCTTCTCTTTTTCTTTTTTCTTTCGTTCGTCTGCTTCTCTCTTTTTTTTTTCTTCGTTCGTCTGCTTCTCTCTTTTTTTTCTTTCGTTCGTCTGTTTCTCTCTTTTTTTTCTTTCGTTCGTCTGCTTCTTTCTTCTTTTTTTTTTTTCTTTCGTTCGTCTGCTTCTCTTTTTTTTTTTTCGTTCGTCTGCTTCTCTCTTTTTTTCTTTCGTTCGTCTGCTTCTCTCTTTTTTTCTTTCGTTCGTCTGCTTCTCTCTTTTTTTCTTTCGTTCGTCTGCTTCTCTCTTTTTTTCTTTCGTTCGTCTGCTTCTCTCTTTTTTTCTTTCGTTCGTCTGCTTCTCTCTTTTTTTTCGTTCGTCTGCATATTTTTTTCTTTCAATTTTTTTTTTTTTTTCGTCCGTTCCTCTTTTTTTTTTTTTCGTTCGTCTGTTCCTCCAGTCTTTCTCTCTTTTTTTTCCTTCGTCTTCCTTTTTTTTTTTTTTTTCTTTTTTTTTTTTCATATTTTTTTTTTTTTTTTTTTTTTTTTTAGTCCGTCCAAATTTTCTTTTCGTTCATTCGTTCCTCCAGTCTTTTTTTTCGGCCTTTCTTTTTTTTTTTTTTTTTTTTCTCATATTTTTATCCAATTACCTATTTTCTTCTTCATTTCTGTTTTAAATTTTACATTGTTTTTTCATTCTTTCAGTCTTTGACTGTCAGTTGTTTTTTTTTTTTTTTTTTCTTCGTTCGACTTTTTTTTTTTTTTTTTTTTTTTTTTTGGCGCTTTTTTTTTCTTTCTCGGCCACTTTCTCTTTTTTTTTCTTTCTCTTCTTTCATTTTTTTTTTTTTCTTTCAGTCTTTTGAGTTTTCTTTTCTTCTCTTTTCCTTGTTTTTTTCTTTCTCTCCTCTTGTTTTTTCTTTCTCTCCTCTTGTTTTTTCTTTCTCTCCTCTTGTTTTTTCTTTCTCTCCTCTTGTTTTTTCTTTCTCTCCTCTTGTTTTTTTCTCTCCTCTTTTTTTTTTTCTTTCTCTCCCTCTTTTTTTTTCTCTCGTTCTTTCCTCTACGTTTTCTTTTTCACACCCGTCTGTTCGTCTTTATGCATTTCTTTCTTCTTTACGTTCTCTCTTATTCTATTTTTCTTTCGTCCATTTCTTTTTTTCCTTTATTTATCGGTACTTTCTTCTTATATTTTTATTCGTCCGTTTTTTTTTCTTCCTTCGTGCAGTTATTATTTTTCAGTATTTACTATTTTATTAAGGAAATTATTTCAAGTACTGATATGTTTGTAGTTCGATAATATTTACATTTCCAACATTTTCATCTGTGTTCATCAGCTATCATCATGTGCTTAACTTACGTCATAATTTCAACGAAATTTAAACAGACCCTTTTAACTAGTTCCTAAATGGGAGCCACTTGGCTCCCCAGGAAAACGTTGCAGTGGGAATTAAGTCAATTAAAGTGTTGCTTCAGAGTTAATGCCGTTTTGAACAATTCGATTATTCAAAGTCTTTGTTCACAGATATCGTTGCCTTTTCACGGTTTTTGTAAACTTTTATTTATAACCTGGGTTAGTAAGTGGGCGTGACGTTTTCTGGAACTCTGAGAATCACTGGCACGTGACCTGCTATCGTCTCTCTATTTCTGCGATATTTCATTTGACATTTCTTTTCTTACCCGCAACTTAACGGAGTCACTACTCGACGATACGAAACGAATCTATCAATGCTTGTTAAATAAAGGTAAGAAGTCGGTGTGTATTTATTTGTTGAATTAACCATGTAGATGTTAACAGCGTACAGGTAGGGCAGCGGTTATCGGTGCGAAACAGTTCAAATTCTGGCTTTCACACATATGCCCTTGAAAAAAAAATTTCTTGCCCCTTCCTCTACTCCGCTATGCAGACTGAGCTCCTTAGTATTTGTTTGGCAGCCGCTCCCGGAGAACAGTTCTAAATCCCAAACCGGTTAGGTGTGGTGCAAGTAGCTCCACCCCTTAAAACCTACTTGCTACTGAAACCAAATCCGTAATCGCTCGCATGGTAAATCTGTGGCCCTACACTCAACAGGAGATCTACAGTTTCAATAAGGAAACACTGACTAACCATAAGATTGTAGAACCTATCAAGAATCGAACTCGTATCGTAGAGATACACAGCCTCATTACCAGCTTAGTATCATTCACCATTAGCTTTCCTTTTTGAGGGACAAGTAGATAAAAATTACGAGTTCACAGACCAAGGTTTAATGGTACAAACTGTGTCTGGAATTTACCATGTCTTCCACCCGACAGGGTGTCGTTTATAGTGCATTTCAGAGTTTATCCCCATGGAAGATTATACCTTTTAAAAAGTAACATATTCGCCATTGCTTATTATTACGTATTTCACCGCTATGAAATATGCGTCAAGCAACCAAGAAAAATGGTAAGCAAATGAAACCTGAATCGTATCTTCTATCCGACAGTGTGGTTTATAGAGCATCTCAGATTATGAATTCACCAACCAAAGTTGAATGATACGTAACTGTCTGGAATTTATCATCTCTTCCATCTGATAGTCTGTTGTTTAAAGTGCATTTCAAAGTTTATCTCTATGGAGGATTATACTTTTAAAAAGCAACTTATTCGTCATTGCTTGCTGTATGAATCCTGAAAGGCTAGAATTGCTACAAAGGCATTTGAAAACATTTGTACGGTGTATACGGATGCAGTGAAGGCTCGTACATATCAATCATGGTTTAAAACTTTTAAAATGGCGATCGTGACGTATCTGACAAGCCTCGCTCTGGAAGGCAATTAACACTGAACGAATAAAGTTAGAAATTATTGAATTGGACCTACATCAAAGCACCAAAGATTTAGCGCAAAAAGCTTCGTGTGTTGTATTCAACTGTCCACGAACAACTCAAGGGATTTAGAAAAGCTTACAAAGGAGGAATTTAGGTTTCTCATGAGCTTTCACTACAGAACCGAACACAACATTCAACCATTTGCAGCAGTCGTTTAACCAGAGGCTTACGGCCACGTCACGTTGAAACACCGGATCCCATACAATCCCCGAAGTTGAGCATCGTCGAGCCTGGTCTGTACCTAGACGGGTGACGCTTGGGAATATCAGTTGAAAGGCGTCACGCGATACAATCAAGTGGAATATTGTCTTTGAACGGAAGCCATCCCTGAAAAAAAAAATTAAAGATTTCTCTTACCAACATGAATACTCTGCCTTAGATTATTTAATAATCGAAATAATCCTAGACCTACGGTAACGCTTTAAAACAAAAATTCACTTAATTGTTTATCAATAAAACCTACATAAAATTAACAATATCACAAAAAATAGACTTCTCGACGTGTTACAAGGCCCGAAGACCACTCGAGGTAGAGTTACGGGTTAAGTGGCAGTTTATGCAGATAGTAGAGAGAGAACCTATATGTAAATTTTAAGATTTTTTTTAACGTTTTCTATCTTTTGCAATAACGTACATTTCAGACAGCCAATATTTTTTCACAGTAAGATTTACTCTGTACAAGACCCGGGAGCCAATCAAGGTAGAGGGTTACGTTAAGAGGCGGTGCAGATTATTTTTCAATAAAACAATTGATAGGGAAAGCATACTAAAAGAAATCCATTTTTAGTACCGAAAGCTGTACTAAATTTGGTATTCAACATTTCACAATGCAAATTATCTTCTCACACAAAGTTCAGGAAAACACTCTATTTGTTAAACCCATGGGCAGGCTAAACTCTGTCAAGCTGGAATTTTTTTCCGAGCAGAGAGGATCCCTATACGAGGCTATGCCGTAAGGCCGTGTCTCGTCTGGGAAAACAACTACCCGACCCCGTTTTACACGGGTTCTATGGGAATTTTTGGCCGAGCTAACATGGCTTGGATGCCTCATATTAAACCTAACCTTGTGCCACATCTGATCACGTGGGGAGGTTAGTAAATACACGAAACTCGGTCAAGGAAGATTGTGCTTGGTTCGGTTCCAAACCACATTGGGAATTAAAGGAAACAAGAAAAATAATTAAATATTCAGTTACTGCTAGTTATGCTTCCACTGAATTTCAGAATATCCGTACTACCTCGTTTGGAGATTGAACTCTTAATTATATCATCAAATTCACTAACCAACACGTTAATCTTATCACCCATTGTCCCGTGAATAAGAGGATTACTTAAAAAAAAATTCCTAAAGATTAAATGGATCGTCAGACACCTGAAGAAGGTCGGAAGGTAAAATAACTGAAACGTTGTGCTAATAACAAAGATAAGAACATTCATCGGAACCAACTTAGCAGCCAGGTCTGTTCGAGATATGGTCCCCTTTGCACGATTTATTGTCCTATATACCGATGTGATGAACAGAATTGGTTAGTTTTTCTAGGAGAATTAATAGCGTTCGAGTTGTGTGTGTGTGTGTATATATATATATATATATATATATATATATATATATATATATATATATATATATATATATATATATACTGGTCCGAAAGTCTTGTCACCGTTACAAAAAGTAATTAAAATAGAAAAACAAATACAAAACACATGCACTTGATACAGTTTTTCATTTTCATTAACGCTCTCACACATCGAGGTCTGTGTGAACACCATCGTGCCAGCCATCTGAAATAGAAAGTTACATTATGTTTGGGGGGTGACAATACTTTTGGATCACATATATATATATATATATTATAAATTAATTGATTTAAAATGTTTTTTTCCGCTACACAGTTCTAACCATGTTTCAAAACTAGAAACTAAAAGCCCCGAATTTAATTTTGCTTTTAATTTAATTGCAAAATTAAATTCGGGGCTTTTAGCTTCTATTTTTGAAACATGGTTAGAACTGTGTAGCGGAAAAAACATATGTTAAATCAATTAATTTATATTATGCTCTGTAAATTTACATTGAGCACTGTTTTGTAAAAATAAAAATATCTATAAGAACACCGGATTATATATCTTACTGTTCTTTCTTATATATATATATATATATATATATATATATATATATATATATATATATATATATATATATATATGTGTGTGTGTATGTTTTTTCAACAAGCTTTTTCAAGTGAGGCCCACTCTATCAGAAAGGAAACGTGGCCTTCGAAAGACTCGAAAAGTGCAAGTCACCTTGTCCTGACTATGCATCGACCATACAAAAATCTCACACTGTTTTAAACTCGGGCATCAGGAGCAGCCGGAATGTGCAACATACCAGACACTATATATGGCGAAGTACTTCCTGATTGAGTGTTGCTATTTCGCTCTCACTCGGCAACGATTTTATAGCGCGGCCAGCATCAGGAACTTAAGCGCAAATATCGATGTTGATGACCTACTGTCCTTCATAATAAAATGGGTCAATACTCTAAAATCGTTCGATCTGACCTCACATTAGTATATGATATTAAAAATATGTAAATGTTCTTGATAGTATTTAATGTAGAAAATTTAACATCGAAACTATTTTAATTTATATTTATGTATTTAGTTACGGATGGACATAAATGAATAAAAGGAATATTCGACCTTAAATGACCCAGGATGAGTTGAAATGTCGATATAACCCCAAAACCTGACAAAATTGTTTAATGTTAACAAAGAAAATCCCGTCCTGGGTAAGACGATAAACTACGTCCAACAGCAAGGCTTCTGATCAGGAGGTTTTGAGGAGCGTGGAACCACCTCTTAATTGCTGGTGTTCCCAGGTTCACCCTGACCCGGGGTGGTAGCACATGTTAGGGTCCCAGCTATGGGCAAATAGTTAACCCCGAAACTGAGATAAAAAGTATTATAAAATATTACCAGCAATACGTTTTTGAAAAAAAAAAAAACTATTGCCAGCTATACGTTTCTGAAAAAATATTACCAGCTATACATTTTTGAGGAAAAAAATATTAACAGAAATAGATTTTTGACAAAACAAAAATATTACCAGGAAAAAAAAGTTGTCGGCATTAAATGACCCATTGAAGTTGATATGTCACAAAACAAACCAAATCAAAGAAAATCCCTTAAGCCCACTGTACAATATTTTAGATTGGCTGCAAAGTCTGATCATTTTACAGTTGAAATGGCTTGATGTAACCGTAAGTTCTATGTTAACAGTTTCTTCTATGACTCTTCTCGCTTGTAGAACTCTCTGTCGGTTTACTGAATCTCTAATAACTTTGATCTTCAAAAATTTAAATGCAATCACAATCTTTATCTTTTGTCCACTTATTTTTTTTATTCTTTTATTGTTTTCTCTCCCTGATAGTATATTTTTCTCATATTCTCTGACACTCAGTAAGCCCTTTATTGCCTTGCTTGTGGTGAAATAGTTAAAAAGAATAAAAAAATATATAAAGGCGGGCTATACTTCAAAATGAGAACCTGACTTAACGTTTAGTGTTCACAATTATTAATATAAACATTTTTATTAGACCTCAGTTATGATCGTAGTCAATAAATATTTGGTTTCGATTGTCCCTGGGTACCACACTACGGTGACGAAATCACCATAATCTATAAGCATTTAACGTAGTTAATTTTTAACTCTATAATATTTTCAAAGGACAGTATGCACGTCCTGGGTAAGACGATAAACTACATCCGGTAGCAAGGCCTTTGACCAGGAGGTTTTGAGGAGTATGGGACCACCTCTTAATTGCTGGTGTTCCTATGTCCACCTAAACCTGGGGTGGTAGCACCTGTTAGGGTCCCAGCTATGGGCAAATAGCTAATCCCAAACTGGGGACCAAACACTATGAAAGTGTAAAATTAGGTTTCATTACCAGCAATACATTTTTGAACAAAAATATTAACCACCAATAAAAATCTTGTCGGCACTAAATAACCCATTGAGGGTGATATACCGTAAAATAAAACAAACGAATAAACAAAGCTAGTATGCTCTTCGCCAGGGCTACATACAGTTTGATGCAAGTTTTAACGTTTGTAACCGAAAAAAGAACGGTGTGCCAAAAAGATAATTTTCCCTTGACACGGCTATTATTTTAACTACCTTCTCTCCTCGGCAATATTTATTGTTTAAGAAAAATAAAACGATAATTAGTATTTTAATAAAACCTAAAATATGAATGTAAATTTATAGATTTTTTTTTTTTTTTTTTTGTTCTTGAGCACGAGTCTTTTTTGTTTTTATTTTCTCTAAGATTTCGTTGCTCGCATCTTCAGTCCATTATACTCTCATCATCCTTCTGTAGGACCACATTTCTGTGGCCTCAAGTTTCTTCATCTGAGAGGAGATCGTCCAGCATTCACTGCCATGTAGAAAGACTGATATAACAGTTCAGTACTATTTTCTTTGTTTCTAATGAAATTTTTCTTTTTCTTAATACTTTGCTTAGCTTCTGGATGACATATTTCCCTATTTCAGTGCACCTTCAGATTTTTGTGTCACATTTTCTGTCCTCTGTTGATCAATTTTGGTAGATATTGAAATGTTCGAAATTGCTTGATTTTGGCGTCTTCAGTTCATGGTTCGCATCCTGGGCCGTTCCTCTTTCTGAAAGCCATACAGTTCCTGCAAATGATCACTCCGACGTGGCGTAATGGTTAGCACGTTTGTCTCGCTAGAACAGTTACGGCTGAGTATTGAGTTCGAACCTTACTGGGTTCCCCATACTTTCAGCTTTGAAATGTTTAAAAAATTATCATACAGTCTCTGCAAATAATAACTCACCATCCTAGAAATTCACTGGAAATAATCGTTTTTGAATTCGCTTTAAACTTAAGAATGTATTACCCGTTTATTACCCACAAGACGGACGCC